TAGCTATGAAGGGCAATATAGTATTTCTTATGCATTAAAATTCAGAAGTATGATGGCAGCTTCAGAGTATGCTGTTCCAAAGTGATTCAGCAGTCATATGATTTCTTTCAGTTTTGACTTCTTCAAATGAAATAAAAACCAAAGGAAAGGATTTACTTTACGTGTAAAAATCTTATTACCTTATACCGTTAATACATGTTTGGATAATTAGTTGCCAAAATAATTACATTTTATATTCTCCCATATGAATTACTAGATTCCCAGAAAGCTATTTGCACCATTCTTCTCTAAACTTATGTATGGAATGTATTATTAATGTGGTTGCTTCTGTTTATTGAAAAGGTACCTTTGGATGGTGAAGCATTAATGTTGGCTCATACCTTACGCCTTGACAGTTTAATGTTTGCATATTTGTACCTCCACTAGGTAAAAATAAAAAATAAAAAAGATTGTTTCCTTGTTTTTCATTTGCAAAATGCAAAATACATCCACTAGGAATATACTTTCTCCCTGTTTCTGATCTGTGTCACCAAAAGGAAAAACTTTAGACAGGCAAATTACAAAGAAAACATGGATGTGGATCACAGCTTTGTTCCTTGGAGTCTATTGGAATATAGTTGACAGTGATTTGACTTAAAAATTACTCTTTGAAATAAGTATTAGCAACTTAAAACAGCAGAGAACAAAAATAAGTGTATAAAGTTAAACTTAAGAAATGTAACAAAATGGAAACATAAGTAGAAGAGAATCTGGAATGAAAGAAAAAAGGGAATTATAAAGGGACATTATACTAAGTGCAAAGATTTACAGTGCAAGAAAGAATAGTACTGATAATTATTTTTAGAAGTTGGAAAATTCTTAAAATGAACAAGAATAATGAAAAAACACTAAAATGAGAAAGAGAACCAAATATGGGTGTGGACAAAAAGATACACAGATATATGTATCTCAAACTTGCCAGACAATGACATTAGAAATTAGATGCACTTCAACAAAATAGCGAATTATATTTTGCTCTAAAAGACATGTGGAAGACAGTTTGTGTTCTGGAACAATAGATTCTCATTTATTGTTTACATGTAAAAAGCAAAGGATAACCCAGAATACTGAACATCTGGAAGAGTGAACTAATAGTAATGACAGTGTCAAACAGAAATTTGCAAGTAAGTCTGATTTTTCCAATTTAAATTTTGAAAAATATCACTCTAAATCCCAGACTGCTGGGAAGAAAATTATTTTATTTAGCACTCTAATTTAAAAGGAAGTAGTATCTTATTGATTTACACCAGAGTCATATTCTAAAACATGTTAAAATTTAGATAAAAACTGGAAAAAAGCTTAATTACTTACACAAGGAATTTTATGTCTTTCAGATATTAAGTATCACAGAATTGAAAACTCTGGGTTTGAGAAATTTCCATCAAATGTTTATAACAGATCAACAGTGCTATTTTACTTGGCTGTGGAGTCTGCTTTTCAGTGCATGAGCTTGGGATTTCATTGCCTAAATATGGCATTATACAATACCATATGATGATGAAAAAGTCTTGATGTGGAGGCATAATTTCACAGTGATTAGATGATGAAAATCTTGCTTTTGTGCTCTGTGTGCTCAAAGAACAGAATCAAAATTATAGATTTTGCTCTGATTGACATAAGTGGAAATAGTCATTTGTTTCATTTGAAGCAGTACTGTATCCAGAGGCTATCATAAATTACAAAAATAAGCAGCAAAGTAGTACCTGTATGCAGTTATGATATTACACATGCAGCTAAGTGTGTCCTAATCTGGAAACAGGCAGAAGTATCACTAAAAACTCTATTAAATTCTTTCTACTATTTTTTTGTCCTATTAGCAACTCATAGATTCACTTTTGAATTCTAATTTAGTTAATAAGAAAAAAGTGTTTCTGTGAGGTTTTTTTTTCTGTTGAAGATTTGATTTTAGATTCCATGTAGTATTGTTGGTCCAAGCTTTGTCAAGGGCATTACCACCTTCTGTGTCGTTGCTGTGCAAGTTGGACCCAAATGGGTGCTTCTGTACACTAATACAAACCAGTCAGGAGTGGTTGAACAGATGATATCTGCAATAGCCTCAGGTAGAGCTGCTGACTTTAAGCCAGAAGCTGTTGTTGCTGTAATTGACATTTTCTGTTTCCCTTTCTTGTTAGCTCTTCCAATAGGGCCACCGTTAGGAAAATGCCAGACTTTCTGCTCCTGACTAGGGATTCCTGTTGGACCTATCCTTTGTCTTTGAGTCTGTAGTACATGTCCTTTAGTTTCTGCTCTTCCAGGCTGTTTTATTCTAGTACTGTAAATGCATAGGAATGTAAGACAGCGTGTTTCCAAGAAAATTATTTCACATGCATGACATTGATAACTCTCAACCACAGACTACGGAAATATTATGTGGCTCTGAGGGTTAAAGCAATTTTACTTTGACACTTGATTAACAGAAAGGAACTTGCAAATATATAATGATGTGGACTGCCATTCTAATGTTGAATGAAATCCAATCTCTTCCAATGGGAAGACCCTGTCCCAAACACTAGTGTGTTTCTCCACAGGTTCTATGAAAACTGAGGATTCATGTACTACCAGTCTCTGCTCAGTACTTCTTTTGTGGAAGGGTGTTTAATTTTTCATATGCTGACAGCCTTAACTTCTTTCTAGGGACTGATACCTTTTCCCAGCTTTGTGGGTACTGCTATGAACTGCCTGGAGAGAAATATCGGTTGAAAGATATCAGCTCAAACCAATTTTTCAAAACTACGCATTTCTATAGTTGCAGACTATGAATGATAAGATAAAAGAATGATCCATTCTTTTGTCATGATTTGTGCTACCCTAAAGCAAATATGTTCTTCCAGTAACTCTGAGAATTGAAAAAATTAAGGACATATTTATTATGTAGGTGTGCTTGAGGACTCCAAACTTGCATTAATCTTACCAGAGTTAAACTGCTCAGTGGATTACTAGCAAGTCAGTTTATGACTTGGACAGTTTCATGATCTAGTCCAGCACTGGAGGTGATCTAGTAACTTGTCAGCCTTATTAACTCAATGGAAGGTGGTACCAACATGACCACATTGCCTGCCTCTGAACTCCTGCAAGGAACTGTGTATAATCCTGTACTAAGCCATATCAACATACTGCCTTGATTCTCTGTTGGCTCAAGCATTACTGCACCATGGGCCATTTAACAGTATAGGTACACTCCACATTTCATGCCTGTGTTTTTGTATATATATATTTGAGGTACAGCACACTGAATGAGCTTGTTACTTGACATGCTACATTTAAACTTCTCATTTGGCTGTACAAATCGTGCACTTAGGAAAAACACATTTTAAGAAAGCTATTAATCTAATTCCTTTTATGTTTTTCTTTTGTGAGCTAAGAAATTCCAGGAAACTAACTCTGGTCAGTCTTCTGTTAAGATTCTGGGTATTTTTTGAGTGTATATTATTCTAGTAATTTTTAGTTCCAAATTGCAATGTGGTGTTGCAATTTTTCCTGCAGAATAATTCTCAGTACTTACAAATTTGAAAAGCTTGTAGAAATTGGTAAATATGCAGTGATCTGAAAATTAAGAAGATATTAATTTTGTGTATACATCATGATACTATCTTGCTGTAGAAAAGGTTTACAATGGTGCTTACTTGGAGTATTTGTTAACTTGTAGGACTTTTTTCAAAACCATGTGTAACAATTATATTCAAGAAAAAAATAAAAAAATCAGTCTGTAATACCTTCATTTGCAAAAACAGAAAATAGTAGAAAATCACAAATAATTTTAAAATGTTTGCAGTGCACAAAATTGATTTTTATATAACTTTTTTTTACCTCAAAGGAATCATATATTGTAAGAACTCAGCATCCTGTATTAAATAGCAGACTTTACCATGTGTGGTATATAGCATGGTTTTCTTTTAGGACTGAAATATGCCCTAAAAGAAGTATTTGATTATCTCTTGTAAAATAACGAATGTGATATATGAGCCTTTGTATCAGCAATACTATAAATGCTTGTATTCGAAGTCCTTGGGCTTTGGCCATGGAAAGTGGTTCCGATTATGCTTTATGTTTATAGGTCTTGTACGTGGCTAGTGAAAACTATTTGTTCCTAATAGTCTGGCAAGTCACTCAGTTCTTCTTGTGCTGAGTGCTGGAGTCTCCAGAACTGAGTGCTCTAAAGTCATACCTGAGGAATGTATCACTTAAGTAGCAGTCTTTTGTTCTGATCATTTTATTTCCAGACAGTTTCTAAACTCAGTATACAGTATACTTTCTTGTCACACTCTTCTTCCCTATTGCCCATTAAACATAGTCTCTTTTCAAAGACTTCAGATACATTCATTGCAATTTTTTTAGTGTGAAGTATTTACGTTATATATACTGTCTAAAAGGTATCAGATGTTTTTAAAGCCTATCATTTGTAGGAAGATATGAAAATATATTCTTAGCTGTGAAATGGCAGCAAAGTTAAATAATTTGTTTGTGAATAATATTCAGGTTTTGAAAGTAATAAGTAATTCCACATGTAGATCGTACTGTTTCGTAGTCAATTGCAGTGGTGAGGTATCTGCAAATTGCACATTTAATAGGTTCATTTTAGCCACCAGAAACATTAAACTTCCTGATTTACCAAAGTAAGAATATAAAATGAAAAACAAAATCACTTTATGCTGTCCTTCTATTTATGCTTTCTTTTGTGGAAGGATAAATGCAGACTATTCCAGATGTGATGACTGACTCTTAGAAACAACACAGGGTTACAAAGAAAAAACATGTACACTCTCACCTCTCATTTTGCACTGGAGCAGGAGTCTTACTAAGACTTGCAGTTTGGAATTCATAGATTTAAAGAAAAATCTGCACAATATTTTAGTCATCCTAAGAGTTTATGTTTACAATCTAAATTTCATCAAAAAGCAGATTTATTTTATTTTATTTTATTTTATTTTATTTTATTTTATTTTATTTTATTGTGTTGTGTTTATGTATATTAACATGTTAAGGAAAAAAATACTAACATACAGTTATATATGTATATTATACATAGCACAGGTAAATTTTTCCTCTTTCTTGCCAGGGGTGTCTTTTTAAAAACTCTGCCTGTGTTGACAGTAAGCCTTGTGTGGTGTGCTGGGGAGGGATTGTGATCTGTGCTTTTACACATTTCTGCATGTACAAAATGCCTGTAAGCAAAATGAATCAGCACAGCTGGGTGTGCATAATTTTCAAGTTACTTATGAATCAGTAACTTCACTTCCTTCTGAAAACCTTAAGTCTTCCAGCTAAATGAATACTTTGCATTCTATTAGCAAATACAAGAGGCAGCTTTTGTTGACTTTGGATAAATGGCATTTGGACACTGGCAAGCTGTGCTTATTAAGTGATTTACATTTATGTGTCCACAGGTTTTAATTTCATTTGATATATGATGCCCTATTTTGCCTTTAAAACTTTGCATTTCCAAACATTTTTTGTAATTACTGAAGTCAGTGATGATCATCTGAAAATACAGATGTCTTTGGAAAATGTTAAAATAATCATCTGTGGAATGGCAAAAGTGTGATGAAAAATCCTTCTCCTCAAGGTACACTTACTGGAGATCATGAATGGAAAAACCCATGGATCCTGCCATACACTATTGTAGCTGACTTGTAGCTTCCTGTACTGTAGAAATTCATCTTTCATTCGTTGACCTGTGGGTTTGCCTGTTTTAATGGCTAGAAAACTCTGAGATTTAGTGCTTATCAGTGATATTTAGTGTGTTAGATTTCAAGTGACAGTAGCCCAGGTCTCTGAGAATATGGGTTTGTGGAGTTTGCAGAGTCACAGTCTCATTGCTATTAATGAGCTACCTGGACTCTTTCATGTACACATTCTTGCACTGTGTCATTAAGTAGAAGGAAGACATTTTTTCAGGCAGTGAAGCTTTGAGGTTTCATTTTATTTTATGTTTTTTGACTGCCAACAGCTATACTTCATTATACATGGAAAACACATTTGGCAGCTTCTTTTCTTCAAGGTTCTTAAAAATTACACCCAACAGTTGCTTCCAAAAGTATTTTTGTCTCAGTGGAATCTCCCTGGGCCTTCTGCTTCTTCAGTAAAGTGATAATATAATACCACTGGAGTGATTTTTCATGAAATTACGTTTTCATGACTTCGGTCAGGAAGGTTCAATTCTGTAGTTCATGTTATAAAGTTACACTATATCTCAGATTAAACTTTGTCACATCAGTAAGTTTTATATATACTTTTACTTTTTTTCAGACAGTTTATTTCAGAGATAGGGACATCCTGAATTTTTTCATCACTGTGTACTTTCACTTTACTAAATTTTGGAATACATACTTATTACTTACCGTGTCTAAAAAACATCAATAAATAAAGTGACTTTAATAATTTAACTTACCTAAAGAACTAACATTATATTTAGTAGAGGCAGGGTGGAATTCAAGTTGATTAACATTTCCATGAATTTAATCTGCTTTTAAAATTTCACTGGTGCTATTTTTAACATGAATTTTATATTTAGATGGACTCACCACATCCAAACATGTTTTTAAGGTCATATAAAAGGGACACTATCTAATCTCTGTTTATTTTCTTTATTTATAATTGTTCACCCAGAAATAATTTAAAATTCAGTTATATTTAGAATGCCTCTTGTGACTGTGATAACTGCCACGTGATATAGTGGCATCTTTGCTTTTGCAGTCATTTCTCTTGGACAGCTAACCTGAGACAACATTGATTATTTTAATGAATAACCATTTTTATAGAATAAAAACAAGTATTTTAAACTATGATGACAATTTGAACGGTATGAATAATCTCTCTGAAGAAGTCACTGCACTTGCAATTGCTTTCAACCATGTCTAGATCTGTTGGGTAAATTTTTTTCTGATATAAATGACTTCATTATGTCATTTTGTCTCTATATGATCAGTAATTAGCAACTACTTAAAAAAAAAGCCCTCTTTCTTGCAGCGTATGCTTTTAGAACACATAAAATTTTTGCTAATAGGACAAATTTTTGTAATTAACGTATCCAGGTAGACGTAACACTGCCCAAGTTGAATCATACCAAAATTTTTCATTTACTCTTGTGTTTTGCTTTGAAAATTATGAATAGAATAAGTCAGAGAAATGTCTTTATACAGAACAATTTCTTTTTTGGTACTTGTCTCTCTTTTGCGAGAGCATTTTTTCATTATTTCATGATAAAGTGACTAATTTGAATGCAAAAGTGGTATGACAATGGCAGGTTTTGGAAAAAAAACAACAATATATTGTAAGTAAACATGTTCAGTCACTTGAATGTGAATAATAAAAGCAGAAATGTAATCCTGTTAGATTCTGATACATGCCTTATTTTGAGGAAGAAAAATCTGTCTCTTTGGTGTATCAAGGATAATTAGAGGTATATAACAGCTACTTCAAAGGGAAGTGCCTGATTGCTGTTGTTTGGCTGGCATTGCATGAAGGAATTTTTTCTGTTTTGTTCTTAACATATTTTGCTGTGAGCTAATGTCCAGGTTTTGAAGTGGAGTTTGTGCAACTGAAATTATACACCCCAGTGGGATGCTAGTAAAACTCTTTCTCCTGTTTCCCTCAGTTTTTCTCATTACTGAGTGAAGAGACAGGACTGTAATGACAATGATGTCATGCAAACATTAGCAGCCTTGGAGATTAAGGCAGTCTTTTCGAAGAATGTCTGAGATTACATTTAAGTTGTTTCAAACCTATCATTAAATAAACGATCATTTGTCCAGCCATGTGAGTTCTAAGTATATTTTGCAGACTTTACAAAATTACTATTATAGGAATATAATAAAACCCTTTTCTGCATTAAAAATAGTTTATTATACATTTCTATATCTCTCTATATTATATTTCTATATCTCTAATTACATAATAATTTCCAGAGTATCTCATTCTTACAAGTGAAATACTTTTGTGATGTTCATATTCCACATTTCAACACGTTCAAGATTTTCCAGCAGAGATAATGCTTTGTGAGTGTATGTTAGTGTCTACCAAGCAGATCTAGGAATACCTAAAGCTGGTGACAATACTTGCTGAGATAAATCATGAACTTCTAGAGATTATTTCTAGCCTTTTGTGATTGCTGGTGACCGTCCTTTTAATTCCAGTCGCAACAGGATTTCTCTCAGGAACGCTGACATTTCTCTGCTTTTTTACCAGAAGGAAATTTTAGCAAAGAAGCGTTCACTCTGGGTATGACATCTCAAAAAGAAAATATCAGATATATAAGTTCATAGGCTGTTTAGATACTGTAAATTTTGAATAAATAATATTAGAAGGGGATGTGTTATTCTAGCAACAAAAGGTTGTAACTAGTTCAGTGCTGCTGTTGTGGGGGTGAACTAGAGAAGCAAGACATTATTAATTCCCTGAGCATAATATCCTGAAGCAAAACAGCTGGATTTTACTCTATGCTTTGTGTTTTTATGTTAATTGATACTTATTCAGAAAGATATAGCAATATTGACATAGCACTTTTGTTTAAATGCAGATTCCTTTGTGGGTTCAGTAGGAAATACTCTGAAATATTGTATTTGGTTGTATTGAACTTGAGACATGCAGGGAGGGATTTGGCTTTTTTATGACCAAATGTTCATCAGACAGCTAAAACCATTACTTTTTTCTCCGACTCACTATGTTTATATAAAATAAATTTCAAATGGTTTTTTACAACATTGAAAACATTGTTTGTTTGTTTGTTAGTTTTCTTTTTCTTTCATCACATCCTATCCACTAGAAATTTCCTCACTCCTGCTTTCTTCTAGATCTAAACACGTTAAAGAAAATTTACCAGGAAAATATTTTTACATTCTTGTAGATCAGCTGAGTGATACATCAATATATAGTTGTAATTAAAATTGGAAAAGCTGAATTTAGTTGAAAGGACTGAATAATTTTGATGGAGGACTACTTTAGGAATGTAAATACAATGTATTTGCCTACTTATGTCATTGCTGCCTTGCAATCACGCCAATGGAAATTCAAAAATCTGTATTTCATATTGAAAATTATTTAACATGGATATCTTTCATTCAATCTGAATCTGAAAGCAAAGGACACAGCAGCTGGATTTCTAAAATGATAATGTATGTTTATGTGAGACATGAACTGTAGCTATGGTCTGTAGAGAAGCTTACTTTTTATTCAGAAAACATAAACAGTAATAAATTGCCCTTTCTTTCATTGCTGTGTTTCAATACCTTGATACTGACTAAGGTGGCAAAGAAAAGCGTAGTTCACCCTCTGTAATCTCACATTTATTTCCTTGTTATTGCCAGCTTCTTTACACAGTATGGGCACATTTCCACTAGTAAGCCACGCACGCGTGCAGAAATGAGTAGAACTTTGTATTTCTTAAGTCCCAGACTGAATTTGAATTAGTTGCTTTAAGTATCAGGCTATGTGGATCTTCAAGCAGACCCAAAGGTGTTAACCACCAGAATGGAGTGTTGAGGCAGAATTTTATAATGGGACCAAATGTAATAAAGATTGTGTGAAAAAAAAATTAAGTACTGTATAAGTTCTTTTCTAAGTTCACTTTTTATTGCTAAGCTGTTTGGGAGTTTTAATGTTCTTTAGTGTTCTTTCACACTTCAGCTTTCTTTATCTTGCTACAAAATCAATTACTACTGCTAATGTTTCAATAGAGAAAGTATGATGTCGCAAAGCCCAAGTGAATGCAAGGATTTAATTCAAAAACATAAACTCTGAAGAAAGAGAACACTACAGAAGTCACACTAAAGGAAGGAAAAGATAAAGGCAATTTATTTAAGTTTGTGACATAAGTTTTACACAGCACATTCACCTGCCAGTTCAGTCAAACAACACTGTATATGAGAGTGCTTAAAACATGTTATAAATAATTTTCCAGCTCAATCTTGCTTTCATTCAGCCTGGCCTTTTTACAATTTTCTGTAATTTATTCAGTCGTGTCCTTTCATTTGTGTTCTAGCAGCTGGGATTTGATGTATTGATGTGTACTTACATAAGGAACATTTACTACCACTTTGTCCTAGTGCTCTGCACACATTAGGGTTTACTGCCAAAATGGCATGTTTTCTGGAATGGAAATATTTAATATGGCCTATTAAAAGAAAAACAGCATTCGGGGGCCTATGTAAGTTGTCATTAATAATGTGGTAGCAAGAAAGAAACTAGTTTATTTGATTGCTGCTAGTTGTAAAGAATAACTCTAAATCAGTGTATTGTTTCACTTATTGGCTTGTTTATATGAAGTCCTGATCCAAGGCCCCTTGAAGTTAGAGAAAATTCTCTCAACGGACTTAACAAATAAAGTCTTACCTCTCAAATCTGGAAGGTGTGCAGGGCTTTCCATACAATCCTGCTCTGTATCACACCCATCTTCATAGCATTTGCATTGTTGAATGCTCTTCCTGCAGTGGTACAAGCTTTATAACTACCTTCTGTCATGTTTATTTCTTCATTTACCTCTAGAGGCAGAAAAGTATCAAGTGAATTTCATTCTTTTAGGTGAGGATTTTTGGTGGTAGCTTGTTTTTCTTCATTGTCTTCCTGGGGATTTTTATGCTCTTGCACATATTCTTACCTATGCAAGAAAAGGCAAAGTTAAGCAAATGCGATCCATTACGGGAATCTGCAGTTATTTAGGGTAGCTTATTCTTTCAGAATTTCTTCATCAGTACTAGATTTAAATGAAAAAGATTTGTGAATGCTAGTATAGAAGCAAAAAGATAAATATAAAATTGATTCACAAGTTGTATTTAAATCAAGTAAATTTCACATCTCAGAAAGTGGGTAGTGTAGAATTTATGGATACTATGAACACAAAGAAGTCTTCAGGTCTTGAATGATATTATCTATACTCGGAGTTTATACCTCAAGGAATTATGGTTAAAGACTGCTAACCTGTTTTTATATTTTCTTTTCAGTTCTTGTTTCTGCAATAGGATATCTGTTTTAACCATAAAATTTCTGTACTATCTTTCTGTGAAAAAAAAAAACCAAACCAAACCACCATGTGGCTTTGATTTGATTGAATTCTTAGAGTATAGCTGACGGATTAAACAGTCATCTTTCAAGAAAACAAATCTTTTCATAATTTTACATTCATTAATCGTAGATATCTTCTCTTCTTGTGTTAAACCACAAAGCCAGAGTTAGTAAATCCTTCATGTAGTACAGGTCTTCAGGGACAAAGGTAGAAGGCTACATTTCTATAGACATCATTTTCAGAAAAGTAAAAAATATAATAAAATTCAGTTCCATACTGTTTCTTGTTGCTCGTGATTACTGCTGTCAAACCATTGCAAAATTCAAGAGCCACTGTTTTATTGGTGGTTCTGTTTTCACTGATAAACACTAGTTTTCACTGGTGTTCCTGTCAGTTTCACTTCAGCCACATCATTTCTCTTCTGACAATTGTATATAGGAGCTATAAGTGTGCCACTGGTAAATTCAGAGGTCACATTTACCCATTCAAAGATGATAAAAACAAAAATCTGTTGTAGACATTGACTGTATTCACTGAAAAGAGATCAAAGTTACTTCCTAAAATATTTACCAATCTATGACCACTGTTGATTAAAAATGTGGTGTTTTACAATATGGTGTAAGGATTTTTAGGTATGTCATAAAAATGCATATAACTTAATTTGAATTTAAAATCATTACAATTATTTTAAAAAATATAGTGTAAATTTAGTTCTGAATTGTTTCATAGTCATATATCTTTAAACATTCTTGGTAAGCTGAGATTTCCACTGATGTTTAAATTAATAGTGTTTTAAAAGTAAAAACAGTGATCAAAATACTGTTTCCAGCATTAATTTGCAATGTGGCTTAGTTCCAGTTGCTTGAATTTGATATTTATTGTATCAGTGAATAATGTGAGTGTATGGTAATATATGCCACAAAAGATGGTGTTCTTATGTACCGAACTTCAAACCCACTGAGTAATGCCTTCTATCAACAACACCATACATACCTTGTGAAAAGGAAGATGGCTTGAATGAGGAAAGATTTTAGAAGCAGAATAATGAATAGGTAGGAATGAAGAAAATGTAGGAAAAAAACCCCTCATAATCAATTACCAAAATCTACAAATTACCATTATTTCTTTCTTGATTTAAAAATAGCCATGGAGATATAAACTTAGATGCTCAGTGATACCATCCTTAAATTAAAATTTGCAGTTGTGGTTTTGTATGTGCCCTCTTATTTTCAAATAGTTTGAATAATGAAACTAAAAATAGTAAACCTCTAAAACCTACATTACCATCTGGTTTGCTAAAATATGGGAGTTTGGGCAAGATTATACTTTTTGCTGCACAGCTACTGGGCTTTTTAAAGATTCTTATCTCTGTTTGCATATTGCCTTTCAATATTTCCAACGATTTAGTGTTTGTCCCATACAAAACCTTGATATAGAGTTCCAATTAGTTGCAGAAGTGATGCCAAAACTTAAATATGTATTAGTTTGACAACTTTTTTAAAAATTCTAAATTCTGAGTGGTATATTAACTTAACTACTCTTGACATTTGTAATATAATTTAAAACAGATTTGGAATAGCATGGCTGGGAGCTGAGGAGTTTGAATGAACTCAGTTTCAGAAAATCTGACATAATTGGTAAATCTTGTACTAGGATGAGTAAGTCTTATATTGGTAAAAGTTGTGCTGATTGTGAGCTGAAGAAGATAATCTGTTTTGAATTGTTGTCATAGAAATTTGAAGCATTTCAAGTTTGAAATTCTGTATTGCTAGCTATTTTTTTTCCTGAGGCTAATCCCTTCAGCATATTTTTGTAATTTTCTACTGATTGCTGTACCTTGACTTCAAAGAACCTTATTGCAACATTTTTTTTGAAGCATTGCTTGTAGTCTGAATTATCTTCAGCATCCAAGTTGAGATCTATAGTAAATGTCTATGTTTTGCAATAGAAATTACTATAGAGATTTCTGCTACCAAGAAAAACTTCTAGAAGGAAGGCTTTCATCTCATGTTGTTTTAGACTGTGGACTAATGATCTGGTTTTCACATTTCATATTTATTACTTTTATTTGTCTGTTATACAAATAGCAACAACTGAACTGATTTCATAGACCCTGCCTAGGACTCAGGGCATAAGAAGCAATTAAATTGTCTCCAGAGAATCTCCTGTGCACTGACTTCATCTCAAAGTTGATGTGATGCTATGAGCAAACTGACAGGAGCTTGATATTTGCTTGTTCCTCAGTGCTTAGTGCAAGCATGTAACTTCCATCAGCTGCCTGTACTCCTCTTCTGAGGATACATTTTATTTAGATAGCATAATTCACAGCAGAATAACAGAATAGCAGGTAACTGAGTCTAGAATAGTAATGGCTGATAGGAGTTGCATTGTTGGATATTTTCATCTGCAAGACTGGACTTCAGAAACTTTTAAAACTATTTTGTTTGCTTTCTTTACAATGATTGAGAAGGACAGTTTCAAATTTATGAATTCATTGGTGTATATATAAGAAGAAAGAATAATATATGTTGAAACCAAGACTTCCTAACTCTGAAGCCCAAAGCAAATACTTTAATAATTCAGCAGAAGAAAAAAGAGAAATGAAGAATTTTATGCAGTTATAATAATTTCATTATAACCATTTTATTTTGTCTGACTTCCTAAAATGTCACTTATTTTAATTTCCCGGTGACTTAAATCCCATACAACTTTGATGTCACTTGAAGTAATGGAATGAAGTATTACAATTATTTGAGCCAATGAATTGTACAGCTTTCTACATTTTTAATAGAAAAAAGTGCTATGCCTCTTTTTTTCTAGAGACTTTTGCTTAGCAAACTGAGAAATATATTTGCAAATCATTTCTAAAACACTTCAGCTATTGCCTGTGGTTCTTGCTTCCCTTTCTCTTACCCTCTTGGCAATGTTTGAAATATTGTGGATTGTTTTTTTTTGTTTTGTTTTGTTTTTGGTGTCTTGTCTGTTGAAATCATGTTTCTGCAGTAGCTCCATGTCTTCTGTTACAACAAAAAGACCTTCTCATCCTGCTGGTCACTGTACCACTATATGCTATGTTTGGAAATTTAATACTAAAATGTTTTAAAATATTAAAACGTTTTTTTAACTGAAAAAAAAAAAAATCAATAGATTCTAAAAATTGAATAAATTCTTTATTAATTTTGATACCTTTTAATTTCAACCATTCAGACATTTCCACTGCTTTTTCTCTGTACTACGTGGTGATGGTCATAGGCCATTGGTGCAGTATGCAACATATGGAATATATGCACTTCTTTCACAGGAACTTAAATGAGAAATGTGTTGATTTGGTTGTCTGACATGTTCTCCTATAACTGTAATATCTTTCAGTCCTATTCCAGGAGATAGATACATAAATGATTTAAAGTCAAATGACATAACAGAGCAGGTTTAAAAGGTAGAGTGATATTACAATAAATTTAGTTTCAAACCATGAGATACAATTCATTACATAAAGAAGTAACTGCTAAATTTTCAGGGAACACCTCAGGATGCTAATGAATTCAGTGACCACATCAAAAATTCAGTGGTGAAACTTCTCTGTAACAAGTAGATAATTTGAATTATGATGATAGTGTCATTGAACTGTCTAATTGTTGCTTGGTTTGTTGTTGTTGTTGATACTTTCATTAGACTTTTAAAACATTAGTCGGATTAAAAAAATAATCCTCTCTCTCTATACTTCTCTGGAGAGTGACACAGCCTAGGGGCAGCCTCTTTTGCCTGCTGCTGATGAAAGCAGGGTGGAAAAGCAGTAGAAAGGGAAAGTGGAGGACTTGTAAGATAATCAGCACATGACCAAGAAGAAGTGATGTGAAAGCTAGACAGTGAGCGTATTTTAGCTTGGCCAACATTTCCATGATTCTATGTTTTGGTGTTGTCAGATGTGTGAAAGGTTGGTTAGATTGAGTAAAAAGATCATTTTTAGTGGATGAACAATGGGACTCTGGAAGGCCAATGTAATAGTCATTTAGGGAATACATTTGCATTTAGCGAGATGAAACCAAGCAGTGTTTTACTGGTGTCAGAGGACATGGCATGAGGCAGTGACCACACGCTGCAGTTTTTGAGGTTCAATCTGGGCACTGAAAAAAAAAAAAGAAAAAGTCACTAGGGGCCAGAGCAGCACTAGAACTGCTTGTGAAAACTTATCTTCTCACAGATCTCCTAAATTTGACAATGCCATAGCTTACCTCATTCTACTGTTTTCAGTCACCACTGAGAACAGAAAGCAGGTGGAGCAGGTAACCTTCTTGGGTCTTGTAGAAATTAAACTGGCTTAATAATGAATCTTCAGTTAGAATAGAATCTCTGATTTGTTAGGTTAGATCAGCTCTGTATTTATAATTTGAAACAATATTGAAAGCTTTTTTTTCCCCAAAAAATGAATACAGTAACTTAGGATAGATTACTTACATATTTTACCAACATATCCTCTTTCCAATAATAAGTTACAGAGGTAGATAGGGAGCCAATAAAAGTATTTATGAAAGGTGGAATAGTCTTGAATGGCAATAAAAATACAGTTAGAAGAAGCAGACTGGACAGTTCTGAATAGATTATAGTATCAAGATTACTTAAATGAGAGAGAAAAAGATGAAAATAAGAGAACTGAAGTCACAGTCCTTGGGGATAGCTGTTGTGGGAGATTAAAAATTTGTTGTTGGAGATATTGAAGAAGGATGTACAAACCACCAAAGCAAACAGTATAATTTACTGAGCCAAAGAAAGTAAGAGAATGACTAAGCATGTCAAATAACAGGTCAAGAGAAATAAAGATGAGAACTGTAAGTGATATGATGAGATGAATTTTGATGAACTGATTAGAGCACGAGATAATTGTTTGCTTTCAACCAAAATATACTGAGTATAGTTTGGATTTTTGTCACTGACATCAGTGACTGTAAGTCCTGATACACACAGTGAAAACACCTTGAATAAAAGGTACCGCTTGAAGACAAAAATTTCATAGTGCTTAGTTTACAGAAGAAACTGCAGAAAATAGAACTTACTTTTATTTCAGAATTAAGATTTTGTGAGATTGATAAAAGAAAGCTAACTAAGACTCCTAGTTCTTGCTTCATTATAAAGGTTTGCGTCCTCTTTCAGTATACATTCTAGAAAGGAAATTATACTACATTTTAACATCAGCCAAAGCCTGAAAACACCACATGGTGGTATGACTGACTTAATTCATAATGTTTTCCATCTTCACTTATTCCAGCTCTTTCATGTTTATTTTGTGTTCCCTTCTTGAGTCATACACAATGCAGTCTGTTTAAATTTCTATGTGGTTTAAACATATGCTTTGTTTTGACAAACTGTTGACATGCTAGCTGGTCTTGACACAAATTTGAAGAGCTTGAGAAGGAAAAAAAAAAAAAGGAATTTTCAGGCTAGTTTGTGTTAGAAGAATTTACAGGTAAAGCTGGAGCATTTTAAAGGTGAATTCTTTTAGTTGTCTTTTAACATAGAAGTTATTTAAATTCACTTTACTTCTGTTTACACTGATGCAAACTTAACTCACTGCAAAGACGTTGACTAAAGCCATAGTTCTTTTCTTTTGAACTGCAGCTCGTCACTGCCACCTTGGATGGTAAACTCCAGTTGTTTCTGCCCTGAGATTTGCCAGCCTGTGGAGCATTGGCCCTCTTGCTCTGAGAAAAGCGTTTTGCAGAGAGAAAGCAGACTGGTGACTGGCGTATGCAAGCAGCTTAGTATTCCCTTCAAAAGCATAGATTTCTTCTGATTTTATTTAAGCAAGTACCTCAAACTGTTCTCAGTTTTTCTGTTGTACGATCTGTTGCCTTTATTGCAAAAACTACTCATTCCGACTTCTTGTCAGCAAATCACCAGAGAAGTGGCTTTTAGAGGACTGCTTGATCATTTATAGTTAAGAGTACACTGTAGAGCTCTGCTTATCTGAGACCACTTCACTCCAGATTGCAAATGCAGTTAAAATAGCAACTGTTCCTGTTTTAAAACTATGTCTACCTGTACCCAAATATTTAAATTAATCTGAGAGGGAGAACTGCCTTTCTGAAATACCACAAGATTCTTTGTGTCATGTACCTTTGAGTTACTGGAGAAAACATAGATATTGTTTGAAATTGTTAAATTTTCTAAGACAGGATCTTTAAATTCCATTAAACAGGAGTCCCAGTAACACCTTCTAGTCTTGGGCTATTTTGATCTCTGCAGAAGGATCTCTTTTCTAAGTCTATGGGATTATCTCTCCTTGCTTAATGTGCAACTTGGCTTTCTGAGGCTTTCTGGTTACCTTCACGAAGGCCTGATGCTGGACAGCAAAGTGCTTTGGGGTATTTTGGCAGTGGTCACAGCATCATCAGCCCATTCCGAATAGAGTTTTTCATCCATCCATTACTTGCAGATGTGCAGCCCCATGGTAAACCAAGAATTTATTAACCCCTTTTTCCTTCAGGGGTGAGAGAATATGCTGTACCACACTGGCACTAAATATTTTCAAGTGGAAATTTACTACAATTTGTCATGTTTAAGAAAAAAAAAAAAAGACTTTTCCCCCCCCCCAGACTCGTCAGAAATGCTTGAATGCTTGTGGTTTTGAGAATGGAAAACTTTAGCTGACACAGTTCAAATTTGGCAAAGTTGAGTTCTTGAAATCAGGTTTTCTAATGGCAAACATGAGTGGAAAAAAATAGTTGTGGATAGTGTTGCTGTCTTATAATATTATATTTTAAAATTTCACAATCAGTAGGCTATCCTTCTAAGATCAGTGTGAGAGAAGGACATAGAAGAGAGTATCTAGTTACTAAAGAGTTGCAATTATAAAAGGCTACTTTTCAGCATAATGTGCCTGCACAGACCCTACACCTTTGGTTTTAGAAAGGCAACTGTATCATTTTGTGTTTTTCAGCACAATGACAAAAAATTTCTGCCATCAGAAATTTTCCTAGACAACTGCAAATATTTAATAAGCTATTCTGAGGAGTTTAAGTGTGCTTTCAGAAGATTTTTAAGTGTAGCACATCCACCAAATGTCTTATGAAAAACAGAAAACTAGCTTTGAAGGAACATGGATTAGTTTCCTAAATTATTTGCTGTGTCGACTGCATGGGAACAGTTTGTTCACAGCCTGAACCAGTGATTGAGCACCTGGTGAAGGGGCGTAGCCAGCCCTGGGAGCACACGTGTGAGTAATTCACCTGTGCAACCAAAGGGTTGTGTGCAACCAAAATTCACCTGTGCAACCAAAAGGAGTCTGGGTCCACCTCCTCCCTAACCTCATTTAAGGGCTGGAGCTGAAAGGGAAATATCTCTCTTTGGAGATTGTCTTCTTTGGGAGTTTCTAGTGAGTCCTGTTCTTTGGAAAGGGGTAAGCTGATCCTTCTTTATTACTGAGTTGTGAGCCTTTCTGATAGATACAAAACTGGTTAAAAATAACTGTATGTACCTCCTCCTGTTGTTGCAGTTACAATGTAGCATCAACTCTTGAATTTCAATATTTTGGGTAGAGGAGCAGAGTTTTCCTATCCGATTGATGCTCTGTGGGGGGAGGTTCCAGCTGAGTGTATTGAATTCTTTATTTAAAATAGAATTCAACAGCAGTTTGGTCTTTATATTTAAAGGTCAGAAGATATGGGGATAGCTAGTGGTATTCTGAAGTGGATCCTGTTAAAATCTGTTCAGGGTTAAATGATTTGCAAAACATCGGGTACTATCTGCTTTCCAGTGTGGAATGGAGATGGAGTATTTTCTGAGTAGATACGCTATTTGGACTTCTAGTAGATTATAGAGCTTAGAAAAAGTCAGAAGGGGGAGTGGGATGACATGGAAAATATCTCATAGAAACAAAAAGAAATTGAGAAACTGTGTCTGAGGTAAAACAGTGTGGTTTTACCCTCTGGGTATATGTTGGTTGTTTATTTGTGGGTAACACTGAGTAATAGAGATGCTGTTAAATAATGCCTTAAGGAACAGAGCATGCTCCGGGTCTCATGTTGTTTCTTTGTGGGTAGGGGAGACAGGCAAATATGTGTTTCTCCTGTAATTTTGATTGTTTCCATTTTCATGCAGTAATAGTAGGGAAAGCCAGGCAGCAAGGGGCAGGTTGCAGTTGAAGCCTGTACTGATAAGGCAGGTCTAAGATCAAGTCACCAGCAATGACCAAGAGCCTGTATACTGTTCTCGTAACAACCTACACCAGTGGAGGTGACTGCTGTTGCTATTGCTGAAAAGCACCGCCATCAGTGTTCAGCAAGCATCAATGAGTGTCAGTGGGTGCTGTCTTTTTCTTTCCCCCACTTGGAAGAATGAAGTGACACCTGTGCTTTTAAAGTACTTCCGTGTCAGATGCCATTTTGTGAGACTGCCCCTCTCTGCTGTCAACCACTTATATTATGTTGCTGTGTGACAGGATGTTGGTGGGAAGGTTCAGCCCCTACTGCCATACTACCACCACCAGCCTCTAATGTTGTGAGGCGACAGAAGTTGGAGCCAGTGCTTTCAGAGCAGTCATAGAAAGCTATGATAGAGAACAAGGGTGTGGATAAATCAACATGTGGTTAGAGGAATAGAGGAAGCAAGTTACTGCCTACTGCCAACATCTTGTTTTAGATATATTACTGAGGGGAATGAGATGAGATGTAGATTTCTAGCATTTACATTCCTATGGTGGCCCCAGGACAGAGCCCCCTGGCCAAAGCGCACGGAAGGGCTGAAAGAAAAGGCCATGGCAGCCCCTGGCCAGATCTGTTTCTCCTTTTTCCGTATGATACCTGGGGTTTTGTAAAGCCCGGAAATTGGGAGACATTGATATGTTGAGGGATTTCCCTTTCATTGTGGTCCCTGGACAGGAGCAGCAGTGGGAGGCTTTGTTGTACGGTGACCTGTGAGACATTTTGTGTGAATCCAAATGGAGGGGTTTGACACAGGCAACTGAAAACTTGTTGCAGCCTTAGAAAAACCTGCTTTGAGCTGTAGATGTTAATGTCTTAATGGGGAGGGTGGTTTCTCCACCCCAGCTCTAGGGGTGCTAATTGCTGCAGAGGGATTACAGCAAATTAAGCATTTGGCTATGCATGCTCTCCGAGCTGTAGCTGAGGATGGAATGCAAAGGCAGTCTTTTATTAGTATTAAGCAACAGTCCCATGAACCATATATGTCATTTCTGGATAGGCTTAAGAACTCGTTGGAAAAACAGGTTGATAACAAGCAGGAGAGAGCTCTTGTGTTTCAACAGCTAGTGATTGAAAGTGTGAATGCTGACTTCAAAAAATGCTGCATGCTCTGAAGAATCCCACTACTAAGGAACTGATGCAACAAAAGCTGCTGGAGTGGAAGCTATTGGATCTCAGCAACTGGAAGCAAGGTTTGCAGAGCCTGAGTTTATGGTTCATTCACCACCGCAAGAAAAGGAGGATCAAACCTCCAGGCTTGGTGATAGTAAGTGGGAGCTGGAGCTGCAAAAGCTGCTGCTGAGATGTATGCTGGTGTTTGGAGTTGCACTATTCCAGCTGTTGGCATTGTTGCAGTGTATTTTTCTTAACCTTTTAGCAGTTGTTCAGTGCTCCAGAAAATTCTAAGATAAGCCTAACAATGTTTAAAGTATGTTTGAAAGTTGTGCTATGTCTGAATTCTAAATTGGAGAACAGTATTTGCTGTAAAAATGACGTGTTCATGTGCAGTAGATTATCAATATAGGAAGCTTTCTCATATTTGGTTGTATAATCCATCTTGACTGGCTAATGTCTTACCTGCACCTGCCTGGCTTTCTTAATTCTGGTTCTGATTATATAATTTCAGCGATTTAAATAATAATAGATTTCCCTATTTAAAAACAAAAACAAACAAACAAAAAAATACAAGAAAGGGGGAGTGCAGGCATGACCTCTTAGGAAAGAGTAGCTAAAGCATGCTATGTTCTTAATTTTTTTTAATCATTTACAGTGATAAGGTGGGACTGAGGCTATGCTTTTGTCTTAATAGGAATATGTCCAAGATGGATACCAGCGTGATGAGTCTGGCCATACCATCATTTGCTGTAACATGAACACAGTACTTTCGTCAGTGGTTTGGACTCTCACCGACAAGACGCTTTGTCAGCTGCCTCACCAAGGAATCATGAAAATTGGAGTTGTTGGGTTAGGTTAATATGGACTATTGTTTGTGCTCTAAAGAACCCATCCTTTTTCTTCTTTCTCTATTAAGAAGAGAAGGGGGAGATGTGGGATAAAGAAAGTCATTATCATGCTAATGAGTAAAAAAGCTTAGTAACTTGAGGCTGCCTGGAGAGGTGGTGGGGCTGCTGTCCTTGGAGGTGTTCTAAAAACATTCAGATGTTGTACTGAGGGGCATGGTTTAGTGGGAAATATTGGTGATAGGTGAATGGTTGGATAGGATGATCTTGGAGGTCTTCTCCAACTTCTGTAATTCTATGATCCCCTGAAATACTTAGAGGTTTAATTAATTAATTTTATTCAAGGACAGTAAAATGATGCTCTGTCAGATACTACTTTTCATCTTACTGTCTAAGTTGAACTTTTACCTACCAGTGTGTTCCTATGACCACTTAAGGCAGGTTCTGCTCTTTGGAGTTCTATGCTTCAGTAAAGTGTCAGTAATTACTCTTAATTTTGTGAGCGTGTGTGCTGCTGAGAGTGGACTCTCTCAGGCATTTTAATAACTGTCAAAGGATAACAGTATGCTTCCAACAAACACATTTTTGTGATGTTTAACTGAAGTCCTTTTTTGCATATATTTTCATGAAATTCAAATATCTCTGGAAAAAAAAACATTGGACTAAAGATGATGTAAATGCTATCCCATCATTGAGCAGAATTACAGCAGCAACAACATTGACTTAACGCAAAGTGCAATGTGTTCCAACTCTGTTTAAAAGCATGTGGATTAATTTTATGCTTTGACCAAAGCTAAATGAAGCTCAGTAAAGTATTTGCACTGTTTTAGCTAATAACCACAAATTGACTCACATCTTCCTTCTGTTCATGTAAGGGAGACCTTGTGATTTGATGGTTTTCTTTTGCTTTGTTTGTTACAGGGCAAGAGTCCATTCTAAGAGGAGTACTGAAAGATATTGTGGTAATTAGGTTGAAACTATCATCCAGTCACAGAAGAAAGGCCAGGACTTGAGAAGTGTTATTGCCAAAGCTAAGCCCTCTATCCCAATGCAGCTACTTCTAAATGTTTGCAGTGTTCCTGGGAACCTGGATTCCACAGCATCCTCAGGTAGGAAACTCACCTGGTCCAATTTAAGCCTATTAATTTCTGTCTTAATCCATTAGGCACAGGGAGTAACTTATTTTCTCTTAGCAGCAGCCTTCTCTGTATTTACAGATTGTTCCTATGTCTCCCCTCAGGTTTCTCTTTTCTAGTCTAAACAAAGCCAGGTCTTTCAGTGTGTACTCATAGGTTCTGTTTTCTAGACTTCTGTGTATTTTTGATATTTTCTGTACTTTTTCTCGTTCTCTGGTGTTCTTTGTGGAAGCACAGCACTCCCTGAAGGTTACATCATTACAGGTCAAGTTAGTGCTGTGTTGTCTGAAGGCTTGACTTGGCTAATCTTAAATATATCACTTGTAATTAGACATTCTGCTGTGGTGTTTTTTGTTTACAGGTATATAGCATTACTGAATTCTGTTCTGTTTGCTGGAGCTCCAGTGCCTTTAAAAGGAGTTACAAGCAAGATAGTTGTTGCTCCTCTCAAATGTGTGTAGCAGAGCCTTCTTCCTAATGGCAAAACTTGTCACTTTTTGAAGTTCACTTCTCTCATGTAATTTCAGCTCATTTTCCCAACTGGTCAAGATTTGACTGAATTTGGATCCTGAGTCCTTCCTAAGCTATTACTGTCTGTAAACTTAATAAGCAAAGATTCTGGAAGGTGGAAGAAGTTGCCTGCTGACTTGGCTCTTAGGTTATATATTCACTGCCAAATACGGTGTTCTTAGTTTACTTAGTTCAGATGGGGGCTTGAGGAGAGAATATTCAGTGATATAGTCAGCTGAAGTTACTACTTTATTCTGTCTTTCCTGTGAAAACAGAGTACTCCAGCTTCTGCTAATGTTAAGATCAACATCATTTGGGTGTTATCAGCACTTTTCTATCTGGCAGTGCAAAGTTATGTTCATTAGAACTGTGTTGGTGCATTATTCCCCTGTTGTAATAAATACTTGATCATGCACTTATATTCAAATGTTTCTTATCTGAGGACTGGACTCTGACACAATTTGTTGGCCTTGAATCTAACTACTTTTATAGATTCAAAGAGTTCTTAGATGAGAAAAGCAAGTACAAGTCCTTGGACCAGGCGCTGTAGCAACAATGATGTCACATTTGTTTTACATCTAATCCCTACAAGTGTGTTAAAAGAGCCATTCCTTATTTGCACTGATAAAACTGAGATGTCGCTTTGAAGAGAAGTCCTTATGTTATGATCACATCAAATGCAATTACCCTGAATCAACAGAGCCATAGTACAACATCTATTGGAAAGGGACAGAAAAAAATGTATTGATGTTATCTTGAAGAATAAGGCAACTTCTGAATATTTATGTAGCTTTCATACGAAAGCTACAGAGTTCCACTGCAGGACTGGCCATACTAGGAGAGTGACTGGAGGCTCCCAGCTGCTGTTTCTCTCATTAGTGGTGTCATATACAGGGAACTTCCATGTTATTGCACAACACTTCTCTGAGCAGTTGAATTAACAGAAGAAAGGAATTACACAACTTAAGGGTGGAGGAAAAATGCAGATTATCCAGAGTCAGCATTTTCTCCATTGTTACAGGATCTTGATGTGGCACTTAATTTTTATCCTTTACTTTTATTGTTAACCTGATTTTACTGTGTGCTGAAGTTAAAAGAAGACAGGATTTCAAAATTCTGAGACTTGTTAGTCTTAAAACCTTCTTAATCCAACATACTTTCTAATCTCTACATAAGAGTTCTAGTTGTCTACAAGCATTATCTAAAGTCTTCATGCAAGATGTGAATAGTAAGGCTGCCATCTCTTACAGGGAGCAAGTTCACAGGTAGCTAAGTCTGTGCTGGCTGTTCTACTGCTTTGAGCATCAGTGAGACAATAAGAAAGAAATGGCAGGTGTAGCTTAAATACAGGCCCAAATTCAAACTGACTGAAATGCTGGTTGGGTATTTCCACTTGTTTGCAAAGCCTGCAACAGCAAACTCATCTTGGAGCTGACTTGCAGTGTGAGCTGTGAAAAATAATAGCACATAGTAATGTAGTTGCTTTTCTGCTTCCATGCTATTACTCAGAGTCCTGCCAAAATGCTTGGATTAAGCACTTTCTGCTTTCCCAGGATAGCACCTGCCCCTAAACTTGCTGTTTAAGCTCTCATTTTGGAAGAGAGAAATGCCTGCATATAGTATACTCTCCCACAATACCCAAAGGTATCTCATTTTACCAATTTGTAGACTGGTCTCACAAGCAGCTACCAATCATTGTGCAGATAATGTTGCCTCATATCTGTGTGTGCCAATGAGCTGACCAAAAAGCTATACCTCAGGGGAGGATGCTGGTTTCAGGTGGTAATGGCTCCAGAAAGAATGAGACCAGAGGCTGAATGCATTCCTGGCCCAACTCCATACCCTTAGCTAGGGTTACACCAGGGGATCTTGGACTAATGAGTATAAAATACTCTCCACCATTGTAGATAAAAAAGACATTTCAAGGGGAGGGAATGGAAGCTGAGCAAATGAATGAAATGCCTTCTTCCATATGTGATTCTGGGCTGTGAGGTAATGTTGGAAAAAGTTTTTATTTTACTCTAATTGAAACTTCTGTGATCAGTGGTCTGACATGGTTATATGCTTTCTTTTACCCTTTCTGTCTCTCTTCTCCCACACGTGAAATCATAATATCTCTGTCAAAGGAAGCACAATATGGAGAATTGGGATTTTAGTTAATGCAAATTATCTTCTGTCTTAACACAGGAGTATGATTTTTTTTTTTTTTTAAACTCATCCCAAGTCTTTTCATCCACTGCAGCTTTTTGATTTTGTGACAGTAAATCACATTGACTCTGCTTAAGAAAACAAAGTTATATAGTGATGGTTGAGAAAATCTTCTCATTCAGGAGTCACACTGCTATAGTTTCATTTTTTGTGTGTTTTTACACTTACAATCTCTAGATTGTCAGTTGGTGCTTTAGTACAAATAATTTTAGTTGATATTTCTCTTTTCAGCAAATTCTGAAATAATCCACATTCGGAGGACAGTTGGAATAACCTAAGATACAGATTAAAATAAATACTGAAAGAATGATGTAGAAATAAATATTGTTTGGGTGGAGGAGACTGGAGATTTAAAGCATTTTTCTTCCCAGTGTGGACACTCACTGAGCATGATGATGCTGCACACCCTTCATATATATCACAGTTTATGCACACCACCATTATCCTACATAGTCCTCTGGCACACAGATTGGAAAAGCACTTCAAAATTAATAAATGACAATTGGAACACCCAGCAACATCTCTGTGCACTTTGTATTTATTGTATGTGGTTAATACATTTTTTTTTTTTGTAGGTGTCTTCCGAAGTAATGTAATTAAGAAGGGAAATAGCTTTGTCCCAGAGGGAAACCTGTAAGAAGGGTGAGGTTTCCTCTTGTAATGCTTTTTCCAAATTCCTTTACGGTAAAGTTGCCAAATTATATGACAGATACATGAGTTTCAAGTCTGAACCTTTTCTAAGATTCTCTAGGAGCATGAAGTCCCTGTACTTCCTTCTAAATGGAAAAGAGGAAAGGATGCCCTATAATGAGGCTGGTTAAATGATTCATTATAAATATTTGGTCTAATTGGCTTGTCTGAGGTTATATACGATAACAAAACTACAGCCAAAGCAGAAGGAATTTTTTGCTTTAGACTTGTCCCTATCATCAAGCAACTAACTGAGGACTTCCCCATAAAAGTAACATTCTGAGTGACAGACATGAAATGTTTCTATAAAAAGGATAATAAAATGAGTTGCTGCAGCTATTTCCTCTCCCCTTCACTAATATTCTGTTGGAAAAACTTCCTAACATAAATCTGCATTCTAAAGTAATGGAAAAGAAGTAAAGAAAAAGACATTCTGAACTTTCCTTGGTCCCTTAACTCTTTCTCTAAATGCTTGTCCTCTGCTTTTGCAATTTGGTGTTCATTACAAAAAGGACTCTCTGAACAAGAAACAGTAGCTGAGATGAAATGTCTGAATCTCCAGAAGTCATCTTTTTAAGGGGGAGAGCTTTGCAGAAATTCAGAGTTGCAGTCACTTTTAGCTCTGCTCCCTTTACTCTGAATGTTTCAAGGGGAGTGAGAATGTGTATTTGGTTTGTATCTGAAATGGAATTAGTGAATAGCTCCATCAGTATTGCTGGGGAAAATGAAAATATCTTCCTCTGAAGTGTTTCTATATTGTAAAAAAGGGCTTTGTTTTGAAGCAGGACAAAATGTCAAAAGGCAGGTTTAAAGGTTTGTTTCCCAGTGTGGGATTTCCAGGAAATTCTGCTTCACGACACATAAAATCAAATGCTCTTGTTTCCTGCCTGCTTCTGGTTTGCAGGCAGGCAGACTGCTCACCTTCTCATCATCTTGCTTTTCAAGTTAGCATGGAGTGTGGGAAGATGGGTTGTTGAGAAGTCAGGGAACAGGGCCTCCAAAAGTCTCAGATGAGGCCTAGCAGTCAGTGAGTGGTTATTCTGATTCCCAAGCAGTGCAGGAAACATTTGAATGTGGGAATCTGAGAATCTAAAAATTGCTGGATGAGCAAGGAGTGAGACATTGAGTCCACTGTGTGGCTTTCAAATTGGCCAGTGGAACAGGGGGGAAAAACCTTGGGAAACTGGTAAGATACTTAGCCAGAAAACCAAGAACCTCCAGATCCATGGCATCTCCCTGGGAATCCTAAACAAAGTGGAGAGGTCTTAAAACCCTAGTCCAAAATGTACAGAGCAACCAGGAGTCCAAACATAGGTGGGCTGAATTAACAAATAAGCAGCCAGTTTTCCACAGTGCAAGACTGATTCTGTGGATTTTTCATGAAGAAATCCAGCAGAAAACTGTCTTGGACACACACGCAGAAAACAAACAAACAAAAAACCAACCACCCAGATCTTGTTGGCTTTCCTGAATCAACAGATTCAGGAATTGTAAAGGACTTCAAACTAAAGCGTATATCTTTGGTGAGCCCACCACCGCCTCTTCACAACAAAATCCCTGGTCCA